TCTTCAATGGCATGTGTTCTAGCCTTGTAATCCTTCATATCTAGAAGTCTGGAGTGCAGTTCTGCCGGGATAATTCCACAACGAAGATTACTGTTATTAATAAGTAGTTCTTCTTGTGTAGGACCTGTTTTCCCAAAACAGCTTTTTGGGTTATAAGAAGGTGGTCTAGAGTGCACACTACCTTTTCTGATGGACATTTCACCTTGCAAATCATAATAAAAACTGTCCTGAGTGCATGATCTTCTTCCAGCAGAACCATTTGGTATCTGTGCAATGCTGTCATCTTTCGATCTAAAAGGAGCCACTCTAGAAATGTGGACCTCCATGTTTTTTGCCTTCAGATCAAAGTACCTGTGCATATCACATGGTGACAGATTAATTTACCGAGATACAACCACAGACCTAGCTATATGTTCCAAACATTAGATTATTTACATGCAAAAAGGATCAAATTACTATAAAAACTGTCCGTTTAGCAATGATATAGGTAGCTGTTAATGGCAAAAAAAAAAAAAAAAAGCTCCTCAATCGGTCTTACAGGTTACTATTATTAATAAAAAAAAAAAAAAGGTGTATTCTTAATTTCATTGGTGATTGCAGTCAGGAATGAGACACAAATTCCACATTATCCCTCTGTCAGAATTCTCTTGGCAAAAAAAAGAAGAACTGAAATTTAAAGAAAAAAAAATAAATAAAAACCAATTAACATATATTACTTAATAGCAAATGATTCACATCCAGTTAGCCATTACAAGTTATATGCAAAACACATATAATCAACTAAATAACTATCCTGTGAAACCTAAATGGAGCAAAAACAATTCATAAAACACTGATGAATATTTAATCAAGTGCTGCTGTGGGTGACGGTAACTTTGCAATAATTTACTATGTAATGGCCTCTATCCATACAGAGTGCAAAGCAATTAAAAATCACTGGTTGTACAAACATTATAATAGAAATTATCTTATTTGGGTGTGATCTGTAAATGTGCAAGGCTGTAAATATAAACATATCAATAAATATTCTATTATGAGCTCCAGTTACAGACTGTCAATACAAACATTACCATATGATGTGTGCAACTTGCAGCCACTGGGCCCATTTACAGATTGTTAATAAAAAAAAAAGAAAAAAAAAATATATATATATATATATATATATATATATATATATAATTTGGGTTCCAGGCTGGTAATAGATTGATACAATGTATCCATGGGGCTGGTATTGGGGTTCCGGGCTGGTAATAGATTGATAAAATGTATCCATGGGGCTGGTATTGGGGTTCAGGGCTGTATCAATCTATATATATAGATTGATACAATGTATCCATGGGGCTGGTATTGGGGTTCTGGGCCGGTAACAGATTGATACAATGTATCCATGGGGCTGGTATTGGAGTTCCAGGCTGGTAATAGATTAATAAAATGTATCCATGGGGCTGGTATTGGGGTTCCAGGCTGGTAATAGATTGATACAATGTATCCATGGGGCTGGTATTGGGGTTCCGGGCTGGTAATAGATTGATAAAATGTATCCATGGGGCTGGTATTGGGGTTCAGGGCTGTATCAATCTATATATATAGATTGATACAATGTATCCATGGGGCTGGTATTGGGGTTCTGGGCCGGTAACAGATTGATACAATGTATCCATGGGGCTGGTATTGGAGATTAATAAAATGTATCCATGGGGCTGGTATTGGGGTTCCAGGCTGGTAATAGATTGATACAATGTATCCATGGGGCTGGTATTGGATAAAATGTATCCATGGGGCTGGTATTGGGGTTCCAGGCTGGTAATAGATTGATACAATGTATCCATGGGGCTGGTATTGGGGTTCCGGGCTGGTAATAGATTGATAAAATGTATCCATGGGGCTGGTATTGGGGTTCAGGGCTGTATCAATCTATATATATAGATTGATACAATGTATCCATGGGGCTGGTATTGGGGTTCCAGGCCGGTAATAGATTGATACAATGTATCCATGGGGCTGGTATTGGGGTTCAGGGCTGTATCAATCTATATATATAGATTGATAAAATGTATCCATGGGGCTGGTATTGGGGTTCCAGGCTGGTAATAGATTGATACAATGTATCCATGGGGCTGGTATTGGGGTTCCGGGCCGGTAATAGATTGATACAATGTAATCCATGGGGCTGGTATTGGGGTTCCAGGCCGGTAATAGATTGATACAATGTATCCCTGGGGCTGGTATTGGGGTTCCGGGCCGGTAATAGATTGATACAATGTATCTATGGGGCTGGTATTGGGGTTCCAGGCTGGTAATAGATTGATACAATGTATCCCTGGGGCTGGTATTGGGGTTCCGGGCCGGTAATAGATTGATACAATGTATCCCTGGGGCTGGTATTGGGGTTCCAGGCCGGTAATAGATTGATACAATGTATCCCTGGGGCTGGTAATAGATTGATACAATGTATCCCTGGGGCTGGTATTAGGGTTCCAGGCTGGTAATAGATTGATACAATGTATCCCTGGGGCTGGTAATAGATTGATACAATGTATCCCTGGGGCTGGTATTGGGGTTCCGGGCCGGTAATAGATTGATACAATGTATCCATGGGGCTGGTATTGGGGTTCCAGGCTGGTAATAGATTGATACAATGTATCCCTGGGGCTGGTATTAGGGTTCCAGGCTGGTAATAGATTGATACAATGTATCCCTGGGGCTGGTAATAGATTGATACAATGTATCCCTGGGGCTGGTATTGGGGTTCCGGGCCGGTAATAGATTGATACAATGTATCCCTGGGGCTGGTATTGGGGTTCCAGGTATCCCTGGGGCTGGTATTGGGGTTCCAGGCCGGTAATAGATTGATACAATGTATCCCTGGGGCTGGTATTGGGGTTCCGGGCCGGTAATAGATTGATACAATGTATCCATGGGGCTGGTATTGGGGTTCCGGGCCGGTAATAGATTGATACAATGTATCCCTGGGGCTGGTATTGGGGTTCCGGGCCGGTAATAGATTGATACAATGTATCCCTGGGGCTGGTATTGGGGTTCCAGGTATCCCTGGGGCTGGTATTGGGGTTCCGGGCCGGTAATAGATTGATACAATGTATCTATGGGGCTGGTATTGGGGTTCCAGGCTGGTAATAGATTGATACAATGTATCCCTGGGGCTGGTATTGGGGTTCCGGGCCGGTAATAGATTGATACAATGTATCCCTGGGGCTGGTATTGGGGTTCCAGGCTGGTAATAGATTGATACAATGTATCCCTGGGGCTGGTAATATATTGATACAATGTATCCCTGGGGCTGGTATTGGGGTTCCAGGCTGGTAATAGATTGATACAATGTATCCCTGGGGCTGGTATTGGGGTTCCAGGCCGTTACTCAGACCGGGAGCTGGGGTAGAATCTCTCACCGTTCTCGGGGTACTCCCGCCGGACCCCGCCATGCTCACACTCCCTCCTGGAGACCGGACAGCCTTATTTTGTTGCCGGTTGCTCTGGGTCGGCGCTGACCATGTGATCTCTGTGACGTCAACAAATCAACAAACTACGGCAGCGCGGTGGGGACACACTTCGCCAGAAGGCGCTTCATATAGTGACTGGAATGCTGGGCAGGGAGTGTGATACAATGTATCTTATTACAAAACACAGACTGGTAAAGTTACAACATGATACATCATCTTACCTGCAGTGTGGGATTGCTGGAAATATTAGGTGGAATTCTAATTTTAATCCAAATATAGCTAACCTGAGACATAGCTAAAATAAAAAAATAAAAATCTAAAATATGTAAAAAAACAAAACTGAGCCATAGCTAAAATAATATATATATAGATGTGAAATGCTTCAGACTTGAGAAAGGGAGGTTCTCCCGAAAGCTTGTCATTAAAAAATTCTGTTAGTCCAATAAAAAAGGTATTACAAGATAAGAATTATCTGTTTTTTACATCTACATCACTGGACTAATACGGCTACAATCTCTACTTGAACACTATATATATATATAAACAGAGACATAGCTAAAATTAAAATAAAATAAAAAACTGACAGCTAAAATAAAAATTAAAAATAACAAAATATGACACATAGCTAAAATAAAAAATATTAAAAAAAAACCTGAGACCTAGCTGACGTGGTCTGTGACTCCAGTTTGACTATATGCAGGGCCGTCTATAATATGATTAGGACCCTGGGCAATGCATTTTCTTGGGCCCCATGGGCCCTGTCCCTGCCACTGCCTCACCCCCCAATTATGTCCAACCCGCAATCACACTGACAGACGTACTGGCACATACACACACAGACAGACATTAAAACATTCACAGATACATACTGACACACAAAGTCACTACACACAAATATATACTGGCAGACATACTGACACACACACACACAGACATACATACACAGACACATACATTAACAGATATACTGACACACACACAAACACATACACTGACAGATATACTAAAACACACAGACACACACACTGACAGACACGTTGACACACACACACAGGCATACTGACATATACACACACACACACACACAGGCATACTGACATATACACACACACACACACACGCATACTGACATATACACAGACAGACGTAATGGCTGATACAGACAGACATTAAACATTCACAGATATATACTGACACACACATACACTGACATACAAATATATCCTGGCAGACATACTGACACACACACACAGACATACATACATACACACACAGACACATACACTGACAGACATACTGACTGACACACACATACACACACAGACATACTTACATACACACACAGACATACTGACACACAAAGACATGCTGACACACAAAGACATGCTGACACACACACACAGACAGACTGGCACATACACACAGACAGACATTAAAACATTCACAGATACATACTGACACACACATACACTGACACACAAATATATCCTGGCAGACATACTGACACACACGTACACACACAGACATACCTACATACACACACACAGACATACTGGCATACACACAGACATACTGACACACACACACACACTGACATACACACACAGACATACTGACACACACACATACACACACAGACATACTGGCATACACACAGACATACTGACACACACACACACAGACATACTGGCATACACACAGACATACTGACACACACACACACACACTGACACACACACAGACATACTGACACACACACTGACACACTCACACAGACATACTGTTCTTACCTTTTCCTGGAGGGTGGTTTCCCTGGTCCAGTGGCAGGCTGAGGCAGATGGGAGTTCTCCTCTGGAACTCCCCTCCTTCCTGCCTTCCTCCTCCCGCGCGGCTATCTCCAGTGGGAGGAAGTGACGTCACTTCCTCCCAGCCGGCTGCAGAACCGGAAGAGGGGCCCGGTCGCGCTGTTTAAGCGCCACAGCACCCGACTGGGCCCCTGCTGACACATGCTCCCCGGGTGGCCCTTAGTGCATGGGCCACCCGGGGAGCCTCCTCAGTGTGCAGGAGCCGCACCGCAGGGGCTGCGCAAATCGCGGGGCCCACAGAGCAGCTGCTCTGGGCCCCCAGGAGCAACTGGGCCCGGGGCAGCTGCCCCGTTTGCCCCGCGTTAAAGACGGCCCTGACTATATGGTTCTAAAATGTAAAATTGACTTTGAATTCACAACAAATCACTTTGTGTTTCTCTTTAGGTTATCAAAGAATAAGAGCTAGCACACAAGGGTTTATCTGTTAGAAACATAGAAACATAGAATGTGACGGCAGGTAAGAACCATTCGGCCCATTTGGTCTGCCCAATTTTTGTAAAACGCCAAACCGTAACAAATTAAAAATTGAACCTAAACATTCTGTTTAAAATCACAAACTGTGACTATATTAAAGCTAGGGAATTTATCCAAATCAGCCATTTTCATCTCAATACTGAAATTCAGCTTTGTTTTGTACAATTTGGCTTTTAGTGAATAAACCCCAGTTGATAAACCCCCCAGGAGGAGAGAACTTCCAATTAGCCTAATTTAGAGTTATACGGCACGAGTTCTAAACCCTGCTTAATAGAATCACACAATGTATTCATTTTGTGTACATTTTAAACTCATGTGCCATTAAAATCTTAAACTGGAAATATCATTTTCTTAAATATCCTCCTGTTTCTCCAAAAAATACTGCAGTTTTTTTACACAAAAAGCCTTCCCTCAATATTTTTTCCTGTAGTAACCCTATTAATAGCACGATATCAATAGCTCATCCACCTCACACTTGCCCAGTCAATAGCTAGTTACACATAGGGCACAGATTGCTCATTATTATTTTATTATTTATATAGAGCCATCAGATTCTGTAGTGCCGTACAATGGGTGGACTAACAGACATGTAATTGTAACCAGACAACGGGAGAGGTGGAGGGCCCTGCTCAATGAGCTTACATTCTCCTTGAGTCCTTACTGTTAAATTGGTTTGTGCATTTTTAGTCCCATCTAGGATTAACAGGGTCATTTGCTAGACTGAGAATTCACAGTAAATTTTAAATTTAAGGCCAGAGTAGCTGCACTGAGAGCCCAGCTGAAGAGAATCTTGGCTACTTTGACCTTAAATTTGACATTCATTTTGAATTCCCCATGAATTCTTATGTTAATGATTAAGCCTGTACGTATGGAATTTCCACCTGAAACAAGTGAGGTGGTGAGACTTCTTCTGTGTGGCTGAGGCCTAGCTGTATCCTGTGAATGGTTTTGGATCTGCTACGCAAGCTTTTATTGCTCCTGTTAATCTGTTTTGTATTGAATGGAATGTCAGGAATCAGGATAGTATAGCCAAGCTTTAAACATAACTGACTTAGAGAACTGAAATTCAGTCTGATTTGCTGACAATTAGTGATGTCCCGAACGGTTCGCCACGGACTCATCATTGAGTAAACTTTGACCCTGTACCTCACAGTCAGCAGACACATTCCAGCCAATCAGCAGCAGACCCTCCCTCCCAGACCCTCCCACCTCCTGGACAGCTCACTAAGAATGCAGCTTCAAAATGGATGCTGTCCAGGAGGTGGGAAGGTCTGGGAGGGAGGGTCTGCTGCTGATTGGCTGGAATGTGTCTGCTGACTGTGAGGTACAGGGTCAAAGTTTACTCAATGATGAGTCCGCGGAGAACCGTTCACGGCGAACCGTTCGAACTGTTCGGGACATCACTACTGACAATATCCACATTAAGGGTTCCTTGCTAAAGTGTAAATTGTCAGGAATTCAAAACGAATATAAACTTTTAGGCAAAAACAGAAACCAAAGCAAACCAAACGCAGGGCAGTTTTCCTAGATCTACTGTGGTTTCCTTGACACATCATTTCTTTATTGCTCTAGATCAGGCTTCCCCAAACTCCGGCCCTCCAGATGTTGCTGAACTACAACTCCCATGATTCTATGAATGAAATAGATAGGCAGAGAATCATGGGAGTTGTAGTTCAGCAACATCTGGAGGACCGGAGTATGGGGAAGCCTGCTCTAGATAATTGGTTCCCAACCCAGTCCTCAAGTACCCCCTACCAGTCCAGGATTTAGTGATTATCCAGTTGTGTCAAAGGTGTTTTTAGAAGATGAAAAAAAAATCTCCCTAAGCGTACTCCCTAAATCCTGGACTGGTGGGGAGGGGGGTGAGGGTACTTGAGTACTGGGTTCGAAACCCCTACTCTAGAGCACTACATGAAAAGCGTTCTCCTGTACTACATTGAATCCACAGACTTCAAGAGTAAATTAAATAGCTAACCAGGAAGG